TATTAGTAGGCTATTTTTAGTAAGTAAAACTAGTAATACAGAATAAACTAAATAGAGAGTTAAAGTACTAGAATATACGCTTATTAGATACTATAAAAGGTATTAGTTTAACTAGATAGTAGAAGAGTAGCTATAGAAGTTAAAATCTACTAAGAAATATATAATAACTTATCTACTAAATAAACTAGCTCTAAAAATAGATAGCGCTTAAGTGTATTACTTATTCTTTATAAAGTTAAGTTTAATATTTAAAAATCTTAGAGTATAGATATAAAAACTAATTAATTAAGTTTTTAAAGTATAATTAGCTATATAAATTAATATAATTCTAGTATATTATTACTTTAAAAAGTAATATAGTAAATTAATATAATACTTATAGTATAATATTACTATAAGTAAAGCTAATAGATATTAAAACTTTATCTAGCTTTACTTATAGTAGTAATTTTATTTTATATATTTTATTAACTTACTATATATACTATAATATAAAATATTTATAATACTAAATAGAAGTAAATAAGTTAAAATAAAAGTAATATAATAAGTATATAATATATAGTATAAAGTATATAGCTAATAAAAGCTTATACTAGCTAGCTTATAGATAGACTATAAAATTATTTCTAGTAAGTTAGTATTTTAAACTAAAAGTAGAAAATTATAGTACTATATATAAAGCTATAGTATTATTTTAATCTTATACTAAGATAAGATTTATACTTTAGTAAGTTAATAAATCTAGAAATCTATAATAAAGATTTAATAGTAACTTTAGTCTTTTTATATTTTAGTATATTTTATATTTCTAGTATTTATCTTAGTAATAATTTATATACGTTTATCTTAAATCTATTAAAAAAAGTTTACTTCTAGATTTATTTAAAAGCTTCTATTCTTTAAATAAATATCTTAGAACTATACTTTACTAATATATATTAGATAGACCTATCTTACGTACCTTAACTACGCGCTTACGTGCATTAGGTAATACTATGCGACTGTCTTATTCCCGGAGACGCTAAAGGTTAACAGGCTTAAGAAAACCAACCCGTTCTGCACGTTCTAGATTTCTTTTCACCAGCATCCCCTACGGTATTAAACGTCTTTCTTCGCCCGTAGTTAGTCTTTATCGCGATTACCCTGCACAAATGGCCAGTCAACGCGTCGACGCGAAGGAGGTTGCAGACTTGAACACTGTCATGGGTCGCAACCTTCAGACATGGCCTGGCGCGCGCGACATTGGGATACAAGAAGCCACCCTGAATGCTGAAGCTCGCCATCAAGATGCACAGCACACACACGACAAGCCAAGCCAGCCTGCTCTCGCCCGCGTACTTTCGCGTCGATCGGCAGCTTCATTCGACCCAGGCCCCGCTCCCGATGGTGGCCTCACAGCTTGGACCCAAGTCCTATGCACGCACCTAACTATCCTGACCACCTTTGGCTTCTTCACGTCATTCGGCGTGTATCAGACCTACTACGAAAACACACTCGGCATAGCTTCCTCGACCATTTCCTGGATTGGATCGCTTCAGGTATTCCTTCTCTTCTTCCTTGGCACTTTTACAGGCCGTGCTACGGACGCTGGACTTTTTCGCCCGGTCTACATCGCTGGTGCGTGCTTTCAGCTACTCGGTATCTTTACCTTGGCGGAGAGCAAAAGTGTTTGGCATGTCTTTCTCTCTCAGGGCGTATGTCTGGGAATTGCAAATGGGTTGCAATTCTGTCCGTCCATGGCCCTTGTCTCCACTTACTTTGTCAAGCGTCGTGCTTTTGCGCTGGGCTTCACAGCGCTGGGGTCCTGCACCGGGGGCGTCATTTTCCCGGTTATCGTGCAGCAATGTCTACCCAGCTTAGGCTTTCCATGGACGATACGCATCATCGGCTTTATCATGTTGCTCATGAATGCCATCACCATCGGCTTGTACCGTACCCGGCTCCCTCCCAGGAAAAGCGGTCCATTGGTCGACTGGGCGAGCTTCACGGAACTGCCATATGCTCTGTACTGTGCTGGTGCCTTTTTCAGTTTCTGGGGGTTATATTTCGCTTTCTTCTACATTGGAAGTTATGCGCGAAATGTTCTTGGTGCCAGTTACCAGCAAAGTATCAATCTGCTTCTCGTGCAAGTATGCATGGGGTTTATTTTTCGCCTACTGCCGACCTACTATGCCGACAAGGTTGGTGGGCTTAATGTTCTAATACCGTTCGCGTTTGTCTGTGGTATCATGATGTTCGTATGGATTAGAATCAACTCCATCGTCACCCTGTACATATTTGCTGTCATATATGGAAGCGGGAGCGCCGTTATCCAGGCGCTTTGGCCTGCGGTAATCGGAAGTATGAGTCAGGAGAGAGATCTGAAGAAGTCTGGGGTGAGGATGGGCATGGCCTTCACCGTGGTGAGTATATCGAGTTTTACAGGTCCGCCACTAGCTGGAGCAATCATCCAGAGCCACAATGGCAACTACACGTATGCGAATGTTTGGGCGGGTCTGTCATTCTTTGTAGGAGGGTTTCTTTTACTTGCTACTAGGGTGTCGCTGGTAGGCTGGGACTGGAAGGCAAAAGTCTAGAGGTAGCTTGCATCGAGCGTTCCTTGGCCTACCTTTCGTGCGTTGCCGCGATGTGTTCAGGATGACTAGGATTGGGGGGGTACAAGGGAACATGTTCCGTGCGATCTATGGGAATATCATGACTTGCGACGTTCTTGCACTATCCTTCCTATTTATCCTTGAGCGTAGTGACCCTTGCTAACAGGCTGGGGTCTTCTCTCTCTTTGTCCATCTTGGCATGCCAATCCGCCTCGGCCTTGGCTGCATTTTTGCGAACCCGCGCAGTGTTCCACTTCATATAATAACAGCAAAGCGGGAAGAAGATTGAGTCTACCACAGCCCAGGCAGATAAGATTCCAAAGTTCAAGCCAACTCGTGGATGCAGATCGAACAGGATTGACCGTGTGAGCTCGACGATATTGTGCATCGGCCAACCATAGCCCCAGCGATAAAAGCTCGGTGCAAGCTCGAGGGCATAAAACCCAGTGGCGACATTGCTGATGACCCATAAAATGAGCCACAACGCCGTCCAAGGGGAGCCCAGCAGCATGGCCATATTCTCGCTCGCAAGGCCAAAAGCAATCATTCCAATCCAATTGCCCATCCAGTATACCAAGAAGGTACCTCTGCCATACGCGTTAGGGTTACCGGCGGGCTGATTGTGGGAGGCAGTAGGACGGTCCATGGGCATAAGGTAGGCGAGGCTGACAAAGGAGTAGACGAGAGAGAGAAAGAAGTAAGATGCGACCGTCGCGATGTAGCGCCACACGATAAGCTGATAGAAGTGCAGCGGTGGATGACCTTTGGGCGAGAGGTACTTCAGATGGATAGGTAGGAAGAACGTAAAGCTAAAGAAGGAGATGATGACTAGATAGCGGTGTAAGATATTAGTATATGTCACATGCGGTTCGTACAGGAACATTGCTCACTCAGGTATATAAGGCCAATGCTAACCGCGGGTGTAGCAATAGGCGGTCCAAAGGGGCGTAAGTCGTTGACGGTGAACTCAATGCCGGGAGAGAGAGCTTGGGGTGCGATGTCTAGGCGCATGTCCGTAACTGAAACGTTGTTCTGGAGAAGATGTGCGATCCACGCGCGGCCAAATTCGGTGACTACGCGCTTCTGGAGGGTGTTAATACTTGGTACAATGTAAGTCGAGGTGGTAATTTGATCGCGCGCCGAATTATAGATGATCTGGCAGGCACCCAAGGGATCGTAGCTCGCGTTCCCCAGTTTCACTTCGGCATCGAGCATTGCTGTGGCGTTGGAATTGATGATGACGGCCGCCCAGGCATGGAAGTCGTAAACTTTGTTGCGTACGTTCAGCGAGTCGTTGCTGAAGTCTTCGGGAGACGCAAAGGTGTAGCCAGGCACCACGCCATCTTCCTCCATAATGCTGCGAACAGTGCGAGTGACAAACGGACCCACGAAGGGTGCGACCCCGGTAAACGGTGGCTGGCCATCGAAGTCTACAACGGAGATGTTCAGACCCCCCACGTTTGCATTTTGACGAAACAGTGCACCCCAGAAAAGGCAAAGAAAGGCCATGATGGCAATGGCGAGAATGAGATTTGTACGAAGCCAGAGCCTGATCACGTGTAGCCTGACACCGGCCATGGACGAGTGAAAGAACCCGACAGGCGCCTGTTCTTGCACGATCCTGCGGCTACTCTTTGTGCGGCCACGCTGCAGCGTTGTTAGCCTATTGGGAGCGGCGGTGGTGCCATGCACCGTCTCAGTCTTGACACCCGTGGTCTGCTGCTCCAGAGGAGTAGAGCTGGCGGCGGCGGAAGCTTGTATACCCAGCTCGGACTCGCTAGATGAGCTGAAATCGTATTCGTGATGATATCGTGGGGCGATCTGACATCCAAGTGTGGAATGAGACATGTTGGGCGCTATGATTGATGACCTACTGGACATTTTCACTGCTTATATTTCCTGAGGCCCTGACACTTAGTGCTTGCTGTGGGTTGCTGACGGATGTACGCTAAAGTGACGCTAGTTCATTTGCAGTGAGATGATTCGACGGTTCCGTCTCCAGTGAACGCTACCTACCTATGTAGTTACCTACCTAGATAAGCTTCACTCCCGAGGTCTTGAGTTACGGCCGATGTGGCTGATGCCAAAATCATTGCTCAGCATTCTAGGTAAACTGATTCGAGCTATTTGAACGGTTCAGTAGAGATTCCGCTTGTGAGCCCAACGATCAGAGCTGCGCGTGTGGTTCCCAGATGGTACGAAACCCGAAATCGGTATAGCTTGGTGGCTGACATAAGCCCGGGAGAATCCAGGAACCACCTGAGCACGGATCCGCTCAATCGCGCCGCATGCCAACCGCTCAACTCTCATCATGACGGACGCGGACACCTGTGGCTTCAATTACTGCCTTTGCGGGGAATCGGGCCTTCGGTGCATCGCTTCAGACCCATCTACAGAATAGGCATGTCGGGCAGGGGGCGCAGAGGCGGTCGCAGCGCTAGAGGTTGCAGAGGACGAGGCAGAGGCAAGACGCGAACAGTATGCTACCGCCAAATCGCGAGACAATCGTGAGACAATCGCCACAACCAAACACTACTAAAATATGCGCAGTGGGAGTGGGAAGCATACACGCCTGGCGCCGAGGTGTACGACCAGTTATGGCGCATTCGCAAGGAGCCTGCCACTGTCACCGCACGACTACCTAACGTCTGCCCTATGTCGAACGCACGAACGCGAATACTCCATCGCCGACAGACCGAGGACCGCTTCAAGCGGGAGCTATACACCGTAGAGGTCACATATACGGGCGGACCGGGGAGTGCACGGGACGGTATTGCCCTTACACAGCTTGAGGATGTGGACCTGCAACGCATACTGCAGTTCGTTTCTCCAGCTGAACTGGAACGATATGAAACTGAGCAGTTCAGGCTCGAGGCAGAGGCAGAGGCCATTGCTATGCGCACCGAGGCCGAAGACCTGGCGCGTCGCCAACTGCGAAAGAATGCCAAAGGGCCAAACGCCAGCAAAGGGAGCCGCATGCTCAGCGCGCTCGCCTTCTCTGTAGAGCCGACCCTACGTTCACGGGGTCGACCGAGAGCCACACGCGGAAAATGCAGGGGAAGGGCGAGAGGTGTAGAGCCAACAAGAGGCCTCGTCGTAAGCTCCCGACAGCTCAAGAATGACATGCACGAGCAGCTGGTAGACAGCGAACCTATTGTGTTCGATCGTACAACCGAACACATCGGACAACCCACGCAGACATCGCCCAACACCACACGCTCAGCTTTTGTCGCCAACAGCGCTCTTTCGGTATCACCAATAGCCAGGAGAGTATCCATCTCTGTCCCTCGACGGGAACTTTCAGAAGTTTCCGAACCTTCCGAACCAGAAGATGTGGACTACTTAGTGCTCAGCGACAATGATGCAAAATCTACAAGAGGCGACTTACCATCGCTCGCAATCGAGGTTGGGAATGCGGGCAGCAGTAAAGATCGTCCGTCCTCTAGCCCATCCGGGATCGAGAGCACTCTTCCATGTCAACTTCACCCCATCATACCCGCTTTTTCACCGTCTGCTGATAACGTGCTCCAAGAAGCTCCAACGGCAGCTCCATTTTCCGCGCGAGACTCTGGCTCCCCAGCTCCATTGGATTTCAGGGTGGCGGACGTCCTTCTGCAGACAGCGTCTTCCTCTAATTATTCAGCGCTTGCTGCATCAGACCAAGACGACATAATACCCCCACAACCCGCTTCGCCGCAATTTGAATCGGACGGATACGTTGGCAGCCGAATAACATCTATGCGCACATTGTATCCGGGACAACAGTCGCTCGAACACAACAACGAAGACGATGCAGAAGTGGATGTAACGGAAGAGTTTGCTGTAGAGGCTATCGTGGCGCACTTTCACGAGCACGAGAAGAACTACTACCTCGTCAAGTGGGAGGGATACGAAGACAGCCATGATTGGCTTCCTGAAGAAGATCTTGAGGGCGCTGCAGACCTGGTCACTGAATACAAGGAGCGGATTGGATGGAGGAACAAGAAAGTCGAAATAAGATGACATGATGTAACGAATGGGTTGAATGTAGATATGGGCTTCAATCTCTTAGTTGGTCGTCAGAAGACCAGGCATGTTGCCATGTCCCAATGCCTCATCTGCACCGTATCCATGTGCCTGCATCAGACGTTTCGAATTCCATCCACAGGGCTAGTGTAAAAGAGGGGTGCGTCTCGGACAGACCCGTGTGTTGATCTGCTTACGTATATTGACTTACCTCCCTTGCTTGTTTCAGATCTGATAATGTCGTCGCATGATAATGTGGTTCGTGGGACAACAGAGCTCGTCCCGGTGAACTCATCAACATCGTAAGTTTGCCACACTGCATGCGAATAAGATCGCCATACCGCGTCGTGCTCCTCATCTATAAGTTGGCTTGCATGAGAATTCATTCAATGAGTGAAGATGTAGTGTTGCCGAACAAGGTCCACGACTTCACATCCAAATTATCAAGGTTGCGTCGCTGGTTCTCGCACAGAGAGGATCGCACACCTTGCACAACACGCGCACGTTAACCAGCTGATATCGTAGGCTCGATGTTTTGCTTCGCGGAATGTGCGTCTGCTACCAGTTCTTGCTTGATCGCAATGTGACTAGAAGCTTCCTCCTGGTCGAGGTTCACCAGCGCAGTAACTGCGGTAGATAGGTCCGGAACTATTGGCCTTAGTGGTGGGCGATTCTGCAGGGTTTGCCAATATGCGTATAAGTTAGACGCCGACTTGAATCGTCTACTTCCTCCTACGCTCACGGATGCTGTGCAGACTTCACTCTTATACGGGTCCTGTTGCACTAGGCTCGGAGAGTCGATTTGCAGATCTCTGACCGAAGCAAAAACGTTGCGAACTACATAACCTATTAGACGTCTTTTGGAAGTTCTGAAAGCAGCAGACTAGGCAAGTGTCCAAGTTGATATAATTCTGTTAAGGGCTGGAAACCTTTTGTTTTGTAAAAAAAAACAGAGAAAAGGAAAACTCTATTGCGCATTCGAGGCATCGACTCGGGGCACTTCTCTCGCTCTCTGAGCAGTTCGATACACTAACACAATGTCCTAGTTGAATTGATACTATCATCCAGCAGCAGCTGGACCACACACTCCCCAAAAGTCGTCAAACCTTTGGATGCTGGCAAAGTGGTAATTCTCTCGGATGTATAATGTTGAAAACTTAGGATCGTCATTCTGATCATTCAGAAACACATTTGGCATCCTCGATCATACGGATACATTTACTTCCAGAACAAACGCATTCGTGCGTGGACGCTATCGTCAATATTTGTTGGTCCTTCCCCATACGCAACCGATATGCTGGTAGTCGTCCCTTGCACAACTTGCGACGTTCGTTCTCTACCCGAGTCTCTACCACTATGTGATCTGGATTTATACATCCTGGTTGATGACATAAATGGCTAGCATGGGCGCTTTCGTAAAGGAGCCGTCGGCGGTCTTCTTGGCTGAATTTATAGTCAGCCTACGTGAATAGCATGCAGAAGCGTGTCTGCCACCTGGTTGATGACAGCTCTTGGTGACAGATACGTGTGTAAAGTATCTAGGTGTGCATGTGCGCCTATGATAGAAGAGCAGCTACTCACGATTTATACCCTATGACAACAAGTCGAGCAGCGGACTGTGCCACCATGCGATCGAATCTTGGTGTACCGCTGGAACCCCTCTTACGGGTACTGATTGGAGCAATTTGTATATAGCCGTTTCTCTGAGCCGAAAATTAGTTCTTTTCTTGACAATCCAAGGAACAGTTATTCGCTATGCAACGCGATACGAGATCACGGAACCTCACCTCCCGATTCTTGCGCTTGCGAGGCAAGATGCACCCTGCACAATTTGTCTCCGCTTCGAGGTATGCCTGCCCGGCATTGTTGTAACCTTTGTGCAGTCTACCCAGGGTAGTGCGCGCGTTGTATGGCGAACAAGCTTCGAGTTGTGTCCATGCGCGTCCCTTTTCCATGGCTTGGCTCGTGGAATAGAAAGTCTAACGTATGCAGTGTATTGTTCGAGAAGTCGTTGCATGTAAGAAGCCACCTGGGCAAATAGCACTAGAGGTTACCCATGTATTAGATCATCCCGAGGTCGCATCGTAAACAACAACACAACGCGAATAACATTGGAATGATGACATCATAAGCCGCGGGTCGCCATCATGATGCCGCCATCACCGTCATGTATCGATATGAAAGGCGCCGCATCTCTCCCTCTATCGTGGTACCTAGGTAGCGAATGGGCTTGCGGGTGCAGATCTCCCTTGGACGTCCAGGCAACCAGACTTTGTGTTTGATCATGACGTGTGAACCATAATCACTTTGGCCAAGGGATTTCAACCCCACGAACATGAAAACTCATAGTGATGCAGAGGAGAATGGTTGGACAAAGCTTGACGTAAGGGTAGATCTTGGATGTTCACCACGAGTGCCAGGGGATGACAAATTCGTGACGAACCGTGCTTACACAGTATCAAACATTAGCAGTGATGGTCTAAGTTGATGTATACGTCAAATATATTGTTCGCGTTACGTGACACGTGACGCGATGTCTCCAGGGTTCAGCCGAGGTCGTGGCTGAGCGACATGCAACAACACAACACAGCGACCACCGTCACTCTTGCACGCGACACAAGCATGTCGTCTTCTACGCGCTACGCCTACCCCTTTGCCGCCTCTCCCGACATCATTCGCTCGCACCAGAAAGACGCCTACTTCTCCGGCGTGCTTCTCGATCAGCTCTCGACGCTGTTGCGCAAGCTCTATGGCGCGCGCACGTCGCATACGTATGCGTCCGAGACGCGTGTAGCCGGAGAAGTCCTTTACCTCGGTCTGACGACGCTGATAGGGAACCGGACCCTGGGCGAGGAATACACAGACATTGTCCAGGTGGAAAGCGAAAGCGGACGCCTGCCGGCGCTGGGCCGCAGAGCTGGATACATACTCGGCTGCATCTTGGGGCCATATGTGCTCGGGAGGGCATTGCCGGCCTTGAGGCGGCGAGTGCGCGCAAAGCTCGAGGCGAATTTGCGGTGGCATGCACGACAACAGGCACAGCAGAGTGGGAGCAAGACACAGATAGGGCGACCGTTGGGCATGCGCGTACAAAACTACCTACTCCGAAACCTCGACACCATTACATCGCCATCACCCGTGTACGCTCTCTCGTTGGCAACGTTTTACTTCTCCGGGAGCTACTACCACCTCTCAAAACGGATATGGGGGCTCCGGTACATCTTCACGCGCCAGGTGACCGAGGGCGACAATCGCGCAGGCTACGAAGTCCTGGGCGTATTGCTAGTCCTACAGATGGCTGTACAGGCTTACCTACACGTGCACAATACTGTCACCTCTTCGACAGCGGCAGTGGGTGGCGGCCACCCGCAAGGCACGTCGGCCATTGTCGGTGGCGGCGCAGAAGTGTCTCTGGATCCCAATGCTTACAGCGCCAACAACGCGCTACTATTCGACGCAGCGTCGGCGGTGCCCATAGCGGCGCCGTCCGACGTGCAAAAGTGGACACAGACACCAGCGTTGGACAAGGCAAGATACGAGCTGGAGGGGGAGGAAACAATGGGATGGATTGGCGGCGGCAATCGGAAATGTACGCTGTGCCTGGAAGAGATGAAGGATCCGAGTGTGACGACGTGTGGTCATGTCTTCTGTTGGACGTGTATCGGGGACTGGGCGCGGGAGAAGCCCGAATGCCCGCTTTGTAGGCAGACGTGTCTAGTGCAGCATGTGCTCCCGCTGAGGGGGTAGACGGGTGGCGTGTACAATCACAATATCTTCTCGGCCTCATCTATCAGTCGCTCTACCTGGAATGCGCTGTCTCCGCGGGTGAACATGTCGAGAAGCTGGCTGCGGCCCTTGCCCTCTTCCGTCTGCACGTAGAACTTCTGCATGCACATGACGAGCCATCTGGCGTCGTCGACGGATACGCCCCTGTTCTCAGTGACCAAGCCCTGGCCCAGGACCAAGTTGTGGGTCTCGGCGAGCTCGTGGTGGAAGGTGACGGTGGTGTGGGGACTGGCGAACTCGCCCCTGAGCTTGAACTCTGCCAGTGTCGTGAACATGAGCGTGGTGGTATCGACGTGCGGGTGGGAGAACTGGAGATAGTGCAGCTCGGCGGCTTGCTGCGTCTGAGGCGGCTGCTGCGAGGCCGATGGGGCGTCGGCGGGTATCTCGCGGGGGACAGGGAGGACGAACGAGGGGTGCTGTTTGGCGCTGCGAAGGAGCTGGGAGAAGGTGGTGGCGGGGACAGCGAAGTGGATGCTCTGCGGGTTGGCAGCGTGGCGTAGGCGCCACAGGGCCTGGACTTCCTTGCTGGGGAGCGCCTGGACTTTGGCGAGGTCGAGGAACGAGTTGAGCGTCTTGACGCCCGGCGGCGGGGCCGTAGGAGAGCCTGGCGCAGCGGGCGGCGGCGGCGGAGGTGAGGGCCAGGGAGTCTCGGGCGGCGGCGTCAGGGGCGCGGTTGCGCCGGGCACTATGGCCTGCTTGCGCAGCTCCTCGATCTTGTCCTTGTACTGCTCCTTGAGCTCGTCGAGGTCCTTGAGGCCCTGTTGGCGCGCCTTGTGCTCGAGCTTGTCCCGGTACTTGGCGAGGATGCGCTCTTGCGAGTCGTGCGTGGCGAGGAAGCGGACGTCGTGCACCTGCGCCCAGCGGCGCTGGACGGCGCGCGGGCTGGCGAGCGGCTGGCGCAGGGCGTGACGCAGCGTGGGGAGAAGCATGGTGGGCGTCGAGGAAGCAGCAGCGGGGGTGCAGAGTGAAGGGAAATTGCTGCGACGACGACGGCGGACGTGCGCCCATGCCCGCCGCTAGCGCGCGGGAGTAGCCACGGCGCCAATGCTGCTACTGCGACAGATCACGGCATATCGTACATCGCATATCGCATATCGCATATCGCATACCGCATATCGCATACCGCATCGCGCACCGCGCATCGCGCAGACCGCCGACCGCCTATCCATCCCGCCTCCCCTCGTCCGCCTCGACGGGCTGCTGCCAGCGGG